ACAAACAAATTGAAGCGTCAAAATAAAATTTTAATAAAGGTGACTTAGATCGCATTTGTTTTGGTTTTTTTAGAAAAAACCATTTCAAATGCGAATATCTCCGAAACGAATCAATAGAATTTAAAAAGCAAAGCAGATTAGTAATCACGATTAAATTGGCTTTCAAATAATGTGCCAGTTGCCATAGGATTCCATTTAAAATTTTAGGGGTTAAGCTCGCCCTACGTAGAGGGGTGAAGACTTGGGTTCGTGATTTGTATTCCAAAAGTTCCAACATTTTTTAGCTACCACTTTGAGATGGCAATCATGGTTTTTTAGCATCCTAATGAACCTGTATACAGGGTCATTCTTGACAAGCGTCAGTTAGAAAGATATGGAAAACCTTTGAAAATGAAGATAAACTGATAAGTTCTTTAAGGGTTTTGGCACATGATGAATTGAACTAAAATATTTTCAAAATGGCGCCACTTCCGGAAATACCGAAAGTAGCCATCAACTTTGTTATTTTAAATAGGGACCCCCTATTTTTTCTACATTTTCGGATTCTACGTCGAATTTGGAGTACAACAGTTGACCCTTTGCTCCAAGGGCTTCACCGATATTCAAGTTTTTGTGTCAAAAATTGAATTTGCAGGGGTAATTTTAAAAATTTATTATTCGAAAATGGTGAGAGATATTGCAAAACAGTTTTCAATGCTTTATTAAGGAAAGATCGAATTTTCTTATGGTATGCGTAACAGTCTAAAAAAGTGAGACTACGTCACTTTTTCAAAGCTCTCAACTTTTAAATTTTTAAATATCCGTAACTCCATTTTTTCAAATGGCACCCCCCATTTTGTTTTTCACCCTTGTTTTCCTTTTTCCCAGACCTTTAATTTGATGCAAAAATGTCAAAAGCTGCTTCAAACGGTTTCCGAGATATTCCATGTTTTAGTTGCTTCTTGTGGAAAATTGATTAAAAAATTAAGTCGCTTGATGTTATTCTTTTGTTTTTATTCGCAATTCGCAAATTACTACATTTCACGAATAACGGTATCTTTCAAACAAAAATACAAAAAAGGAAGCCTGTGGTAGACTCTGAAGAACAGGAAATAACTATACTGATGTATTTTGCTGCAAATCCAACTGCATCGCTTAATGATATCCAAAGAGAAATTGACATATCAGACACGAGTGCACAAAGAATGGCGCCACTTCCGCAAATACCGGAAGTAGCCATCAACTTTGTTATTCCAAATAGGGACCTCCTATTTTTTTTAATTTTTCGGATTCTACGTCGAATTTGGAGTACAACGGTACCGTTATACCTGAAATTTTGTAGTAATTTGCGAATTGTAGCCTATGTGGGTTGCGCCTTGTCAGGGTATCTTTCGGAAAAAAGACGACAAGTCCTGGCAGCTATTCGATTACAATCACCGTGTATTAATATTAAATTCACAACCCAAATGAGCCATTATTGACCAGAAGTATAAGTTCAAACAGCGAAAAATTTGACGTTTAAACATTATCATAATAAAAACAAAAGAATAACATCAAGCGACTTAATTTTTTTATCAATTTTCAACAAGAAGTAACTAAAACATGGAATATCTCGGAAACCGCTTGAAGCAGCTTTTGACATTTTGCATCAAATTAAAGGTCTGGGAAAAAGGAAAACAAGGGTGTAGAACAAAATGGGGGGTGCCATTTGAAAAAATGGAGTTACGGATATTTAAAAGTTTAAAAGATGAGAGCTTTGAAAAAGTGACGTAGTCTCACTTTTTTAGACTGTTACGCATACCATAAGAAAATTCGATCTTTCCTTAATAAAGCATTGAAAACTGTTTTGCAATATCTCTCACCATTTTCGAATAATAAATTTTTAAAATTACCCTGCAAATTCAATTTTTGACACAAAAACTTGAATATCGGTGAAGCCCTTGGAGCAAAGGGTCAACTATGGGGTATCGTTGTACTCCAAATTCGACGTAGAATCCGAAAATGTAGAAAAAATAGGGGGTCCCTATTTAAAATAACAAAGTTGATGGCTACTTCCCGTATTTCCGGAAGTGGCGCCATTTGAAAATATTTTAGTTCAATTCATCATGTGCCAAAACCCTAAAAAGAACTTATCAGTTTATCTTCATTTTCAAGGTTTCCATATCTTCTAACTGGGACGCTCGTCAAGAATTGACCCTGTATACAGGTGATTCCTATAGTACCTGGCCACCGATTTGGAGCGTGTAGGTGGTGCGTTAGGGAGTATTTTGATATAGGACACTTGGGCGTCGGAAATCGAAAATAAGGGTGCCAGAGCCAAATTTACCTTCTGGAATTTCGCGCCTTAGGGTAGGGCAACCCACCGGCCGCGGTGCAAACACGGAGCGATCTCAGCGCATGTGTGGCTGACACTATGATCAGATTTTGTTTAAACCACGAAATCCCGATCGCAACAGACGCGTATCAAGTGAGATAAAACACATATGGCACGTTTTTACTAACACGGAATACGCGGGATCATGCACTTCATGTACGGGATTGGGCAAATGTAACGCACGACTGCGACACGAGCGTACGCTGAGACGGTATCCCAAACCGTCAGTCTTACCCTGCAGACAGGTCATTTCAAGAAATTCACTCGCGACTGGCGAGACAGGCAATTGCAGGTTAAGCTGACGGAGCTTAACTTACACAACAGATTCGTGACTCAACATCGATACTTGGGTCATTTACGCACCCATTCGAAAGTTTGTTGTGTTATACAGCCGACCTCCTCCTATTTCGTAACCACTAGCGCCGTGAATCAGCGATCGCACCGTTCGGTAAATGCCTTAGGAGAGGTGCATAGTGTGTTGGACGTTCGAGGCAACGCCGCGTACTAGCAATTCCGTGTTAGTAAAACGCTGCCATAGTGTTTATTCACTTGATACGACGTTTTCGTTTTGCCCAAGGGACGGGGATTTCGTGGGTTTAAACAAAATTCTGATCAAGTGTCAGCCACACATCGCCGCCTGAGATCGCTCCGTGTGCACCGCCGGCCGGTTGGGTTGCCTACCTACAGGCGCGAAATTCCAGAAGTAAATTTGGCTCTGGCACCCTTATTTTAGATTTCCGACCCCAAGTGTTCCTATATCAAAATACTCCCCTACGCACCACCTACACGCTCCCAAACGGTGGCAGGTACTATAGGAATCACCCTGTATAACCACTGTGAAAAGGAAAATTGGTACCCCCAAATTATACCGTCATGCGTCATTGTCATTGTACCTAAATAGTGTACGGAAACACTTTTTTAACGCATCCCTTCTGGGGACAGAGACAGTCCGTGTTAGTTAACACACGCTATTTTACCTATAATTCTTGTTTCACCTTCAACGAAAATAATAATTATTGTGAAATTGGTACGAGTGGAGGTAGATTTTAAAGTGCAAAGGTAATTGTGTCGCCGCAATGCAACAATACATATACGTTCATACGCTCAAGGTTACATTCATACCCAAATTTAGAATCTGCCTTGTTTCAAATTTCTGTATAAAGAAACCCTGTTACAAATGTAAAAAAATCCGACTTTACTTTTCTCAATATATTTAATCAATGCATTTTACACAGGGACCCGGACCGGAGCGAAAAAGAATCAAAAACCGGACCGAAACCGGTATGTTTTTTCTGGACCGAAAACCGAACCGAAACCGTTATTCCTTCAGAAATGGAAACGTATTGAGAACCGGCACCTATATTACTTTTTTCGGTTCTGTTCGGTTTTTAACGGTTCTTAAGAGGTTATTGGAAGTTGAAGGACGCGCCGGCAACCACGTCCTAAAAATTGATAAAATATTACTCCATGATTGCCATCGGTGAATTATAAATTTTTAATAAAATGTCGAAATTGAAGGCATTACGGGTGGCGGTGGCGCTAATTTAGCCACTACGTTAAAAAATAAACAAGTTAAAAAGTAATCGTAAACGATTTACGTAAAATGCAACTCTGTTAAAATCGTAAAAATCCGGTCACAAATATGAATATGGGCAATCCATTTTTGACGTGCTACTTCAATTTCAGTTTATAAGACTAGTAGCGTCTCAAAACGAGCGGACGGACGGACGGACGGACGGACAAAGTGGCCACAATAGCGCATTTTTTTTATATTCTTGTGGAAATGCGCTAAAAAGGAAGGGCGAGATTTTAGAAAATAAAATTTTCTGTTTTTTAGTAATAAATTAAGTGTAAGTACATATTTCCCTCTTCCTTCTTTATTCAGCTTGTTATAAATTAGCTACACGATACGTCACGTTTTGGTATTCATGACTTTTTTCAATTAAAAAATCACGTTGTTATAATGAATTTTTTGAATGCCATACTTTCTAAAAAACTATAACCGAAAATAACCGTTATGGACCGAAAAAAATATGCAGAACCGAACCGTTATTTCTTTTTAGAACCGAAACCAAACCTGAACCGTTATAAATATTTTCGCTTAAATATAAACAGAACCGGAACCGATATTTCATTTGGGTGCGGGTCCCTGTTTTTACATCGGCATTTATTTTGATATAATTGTTAAAATAACTTGCAATAGGACATTTTTTACCAGTGCCGCAGTAGTTGAATTTTATTTTATGCAAATAAAGGTCTTCAACCCTTGTAATGTAACTAATCGGGTACAATGTATCTCTTGTCCCTTTTTTACTGTACCGTCCTCCATTGTTACGCGCCCTGTATAGTTGTCACTTTTTATAATAAAACAGACTTAGATTTTTAGCCGTTCGGAACAAGTCTAATTTTGATGAATTTTTATATTTTTAACATTCACTTTGTTTGCATTGATTATATTTTAATATTCAGAGCTTCCCAAAGGAGCGAATAGTGCGCATAATTATGTAGATGCACGATAACGGAGTATAATGGAGTATAACAGAGTATAACGGAGTATCAAGGAGTATAACGGAGTATAACGGAGTATCAAGTAGAAAAAAATGGAAGTTGAGAAATGAAAGATCAAATAACTATTCTTTATTTTCAGACTATGGAGGTAGCAGCCATACTCCTAACGTGTACCTTTGTGTTACTAACGATCACAAATATCGTCAGAGTTAAAGCAAGTATCACTAACAAACGCACATAGGCTTTCAACTACCTTTTCAGTATGTGATTAGAAGCAAATGGTCGATGCCCGTAATCGTTTTACTCACACCCGTCGCCGTTTTTGCGTCAATACTTCTTCTGCCACTTCTTTCGGTTTTCTGGGTTTACCGTGAACTGATACGACTATATTTAATAATGAAGCAGCGCTCTAAGTTTATCGGATTGATAAAAGGCGCCGATGTCATCTACACTTGCGGACCTCACGAGAAGAGCGTGATGACGATACTGTTCATGTTAGAATGCTCGACCGCGAGGAAGCCGGAGGATGTCTATCAGGATTTCAAAGGAGCGGTATTTAAGGCGTTGTTTTCGGATCCTCGCAAGCTTCCAGAGTTTCGTTCCGTAGTGAAACGATGCGGTGGATACTCGTACTTGTGTAACGGAAACGTAACTGTGGACGAATGCGTGAAAAAAATGAAAGTTGTTAAATGTGAAAGAAAGGAGCTCAATGAAGACGAATTGAGGGTACTACTTCAGAATTGTGTCGCGGAAGAGTTTCCCAGAAATAACACCTTGTTTATGGATAGCTTTGTCGGCACGCAACCGGTTGAATGGAGTGGGTACACGAAGACGAATGTTAGTTACTATCCAGCGTTAGTACGAATTCATCATGCCATTTGTGACGGATTTGCCGTGACACAAATGTTTGCAGCCATGAGTGACAAACCAAAAAACGCCGACGAGAGTCGCAAAACACTGTACAATGAGAATCTGAAGCAAGGTTCCAGAATGAAATCGATAGCCTATTACTTTCTTCTGTTCTGGACCACAATCATCTTCAATTCATCAGAGGTATTGCTAAAGTTTCTATTAGATAAACCAAAACCAAACATTTTACGTGGTGGCCGATTAACCGGAATTGAAATGTTATCCATGAAAACCGACGCCGGAGCGTACTACAAGCGTATCAAGGCAATAAAAAATAGCCTGGATGAGGTTGGTTTTGCCGACGTTGTACTCACAGCATTTTCGGCAAGTTTGAAAGATCACTTTCGGAAGGTAAACACGGAGAATGCGACGGTATAAATCCAACTTCTGAAATTGCAGCAATCTTCACATCACCCCGAAAGTATTTCGATCGTGGTACCTTTTCTACCGAAAGCGACCACTATTCCGCTATTACCCATTGGTGAACTAATGCCGCATGACATTTCATTGCAAAATAGTTTCGCAATGTTAACATTTGATCTGCCTCTGTTTATTGATGACGATAACGCTTCATTGTCTTTCCGTTTGCGAGCAGTACAAAGAGAAAGAAAAAGGGCATACAATTCGATCGGCAATAAGGTAATAGTTCGCTTTAAATTGCAGAAAATTGCTGTATCATTTGCAGATCCTTTACTTCACATCGCACTTCTTAATGCAAGTCCTTCCGTTGCCGATCTTGACGATGGTGCACGATAAGTTGCACTGGTCCGCTGTGCTAAGTATTTTACCTGGACCGCCAAAGGCATCCGTAGCTAATGGTAGCGCCGAAATTGAAAACATAGTATTTTGGCCACCTCTATTGACGGGAATAGGTACGGTTTTATGAAACCCACAGTACGAATCCCTTCTTTTTAGGGGTTAGCGTTTCTATACTGTCGTACGCCAACAAGATGCAATTAGGTTTGAAGTTTGATAAAGCGCTCATGGGCAATGAAGAGGACGCCCTAGATATTTTGGATGGTGTCTTTAAGTACATAGATTTGTTCACTGAGGAAATTAATTTGTACAAAATCAATTAGTTTTAAATTGTAAAATCAATCAAACGACTTTGATCCATATTTTTAGTGCATTTTTTATGAATTAAAAAAAAATTTGCTATTGTTTGTGTTTTGTCCGTCCGTCCGTCCGGACCCACTTCTGCCGTTTTGAACTACTTCTAGGGGAATGTTCCTAGCGTCCTGGAATTTTTTGCAGTAGGTAGCCTATACCTTGAAGGTGTGCCAAACGGCCATCAAATTTCACTGTCTAAAGGGGGGGGGGGGGGGGCTCACGAATTATTTCCTGAGATGCTGTTTTTGAAAGTTAAACGTGCATAACTGTTACATACGACAACCAATTGGCCTCAGATTTTGCATACGCATGCCTTTAGTGGTGCCAAGTTAAACTGTATGTGGGGGGGGGGGGGGAAACACGTGATCGAAATAAATTGGTTTGTACTAACTAGATTACAGGCGAATTCTTTTAATTTTGCAGTGATCATTGTCAAAGTCGCTATATGGTATGGGAACTGTAGATTTTGTAGGAATTTTCCGTCAATGTAGGTTTGAGGTATCTGGCAATCTGGGTTTCTAGGGATTTGATTGGCTAAAATAAATTAATTCTGTTGGTGGAACATATCCAAATGTTCGATGGGCATAGTTTTGGAAAGCCTACCGCACGAATTAAATCTGAGAATGCAAAACGTATGTCAAAGTTTTCAAATTTCAAATTCAAAAAAAGAAACTCCTGGGGACTTCAATCAGACGAACTCCATGGAGGTCGATGCCGCATCGAATTAAGAATTTAAAAAAACCAACCTTTGTCTTTCAAAGTCGGTGACTCCCAGAGTGTTCTCAATTCTTTCCGTTATTGGAACTCTAAACCAACCGTTTCCAAAAATTGTCCCGATGGAAACGTAAACGTATACGGGAACGTACACGGAAACGTTAGCGGAATTGGGAGCGGAAGCAGAAACGGAAACGAGCGCGGAAGCGGAAACGGAACTAGGGGCGGAAGTGGACGTGACAGTGGAAACGGGCATGGAAGCGGGCGCGAAAACTGAAACGGACGTGGCACCGGAAACGGAAGCGGAAGTGTTTGCGGAAGCGGGAACGGGAGCGTAAGTAGGGGCGGGCGTGGAAGAGGAACCGGAAGCGGTAGCGGAAGCGGAGGCAGAAGCGGAGCAGAAGCAGAGCAGAAGCAGAGCAGTAGCAGAGCAGAAGCAGAAACAGAAACCGAAACAGAAACAATTTCTAATTGGGTTAGTAGTTATCAATCAACGGTAGTATATAAAAATGGTGGTTGGGCCAGCACAAAGCAGTTGTCTTGGTCATATTCAACTTGAGTTTAAACTTACAGTCTGTAAAGTGCAGTTATGCTTAAGATTAACTGTTTGCTTTATTAACGAGCTCCTAGCGAGTTTATAATTTTGCGGTGTCTGTCCGTCTATCCGTCCGTTAGCTCATCCGCACGATAACTCATAAACGAATGGACCGATTACGATGAAATTTTGCAGGTGGATTCTTTATCAAATTTGTAGATCGGAGTTCGTGAATTGGCAAGGTAGTCTAATCGATCAACAGTCACAGTGCCCTTTTCGCATCTCGACCATTTACAAACCGGATTGCAAACTTTCTTATTTAAGAAGGTATTTAAATGAAATTTGCTACATAACCACTTGGAATAAAAGCAAATATAACGCCAGTTTCAAAATTTCGTTTTGCGCATGCGCAGTGCCAACTTTCTTATTTATGGAGGGATTTCTAAGGCACCTCTAAAAAGCATTATGCGGGTCACTCTGTAATTGGGCGAAAGCCTGTTGAGGGCCCGGAACAAGAGAGGGATAAAATAAAATATAAAAAAAATTAAATGAAATTTGATACATAACCACTTGGAATAAAAGCAAATGTAGCGCCATTTTCCAAATTTGTTTTGTGCAGGATGTGCAGTGCCCACTTTCTTATTTATGGAAGTAATTAAATGAAATTTCATACATATATACGTTAAATAAAAGCAAAACTAACATCAGGTTTGAAATTTGGTTTTGCACATGCTATAGCCATACCCAGGAGCTCGTTTTCTATATTTGTTTAGTTTATTTTATTTTTAAGTCTTATGGTCCTATCACGGATTTTTATCGCCGGTTATTATGGTTTTACCGTTGTGTATTTTTTCGATACTCTAATTAGGGCTCCGTTCCGTTCCGTTTGAAAAAAAGTTAAAATAATATTTCATTCGTCTCTTTTTTAGTCTCATCGTATAGGTTGATAAAAATGAATCGCATTTTAAAACTCCGCTAGAAAATCGCATAAAATGGGGTATTTTTCGTTTGTGTCATCACTTTTGGGATGTAATCTATATTTGGCGTTGCGCGATGTGTTGCACTGCCATTTTGTTTGCTTTCATTAGGCTTTGAATACTTTATATCCAAAGTCTAAACACGCACCTGCGACAATCATCTGTTTACAAAATGGATTAAATTTTAGGGATACGCGCAACTCTTATCTACGACCGGAGAAAAACATGAAATAAACTTTTACAAATAAGACACAATTATAGTTCCTTACCTATCGTATAACACGTAGTTTCTTCACAATTAAATAAACAAATTAGAATGCGGATATAAACAAAAAATTAGACAACGTATCAAAAAGATCGGATGAATTATACTTGTAAAAACAGATTGTTAGCTTTCGGGATTCCCTTTTTTAATATATTTTTTTTATTTACTGAAGTCAAATGCAAAAAAATCGAGATTTTCCCATTTTTTCTTCGTTTTTTGTTTATAACAATATGTTCCGGGAGCTTCCGGCCAGGGGAACCATGATTTTCGGATTCAGCGGATTTTTTTACATAGAATAGGTACCTACAATTGGTTTCGTTGAGTGAAATGATAACATCCAGCCCAAACCGTAATTTGACTAGACTAATAAATATGCGTCTTGAAAAATACGAGTAGATATAAAACTGGAGACGGAAAACGTAAAATAAAGCAAATACAAGAAGCAAAGTGTCAACTAGTAACGTTAAGCAAATGTGACGGGTGCGACCGGAAAAGTGACAGATACGGCAGGTAAAGTAACAGAGGCGGCAGGAAAAGTAGCCTTGTAAAGTATCACTGCCTCTGTCATGACATAAAGTAGGCATAAAATAGTTATTTACATAACAGGCGGGAAAATGACACATTACTGACGAGGAAATATTGAAGTACGAGGCCGCTTTGGGGCCGAGTACTTTAATTTCCGAGTCAGGTAATGTCATTTTACTGACGAGTTTTGTATTAAATTTTACACGAAATCGTATTTTAATATAAAATTTTAATTGTCATATAGAACATTTTTGGTCCTGACTACCCGTTACACCCAAGACAAGGGATTCTTGAGATCAACAGCGCTGCGTTTCTTGAAGTCGTCCTAATCCCTGGTTGTCAACGTCCCACGCAATTCCCATTGGCGCCTGTCGTTAAAACTACTTGGTGAGCAATTGCAATATTATCAAAAAAAAATAATTACTGAAACCCTGAACAGATACCAAAACATTAGCAGAACCATTTTTGTGGAAAAATAAACCTTATCGGTTGTTTTTATACACAACTCAATAGTCTTTGTAGGAAACCTGATTGCTGAGATTTCGAGCATACATTAATGTAAGGGTGGAAGTCTTGTGGTGAAAGCGTATGGCGTACCTAACATTTTCCAGATAGTGTCTTCAAGACTGGCGAAGAAGCGCGACTACTAACAACAATAATTTTGAACTGGAATCTAGTTTAGAGAAAAGAGATAACTTTAGTGTTCGAATACATTTGTTTGCAGATAAAAGCGGGTCTTTTTATTTATTTTGGTTGTACGACGTGAGCGATTGATTTTTGACATTTTCACGCGTTGCTTCTAACCTTTCTTGATATATTTTAAGATGGATCTGCAATCCCCTTTCATATATCTTGCCGTATGCGCATTTCTCGTGATGGTAGTGGCAAATGTGAGACGAATTCACGTAAGTAGATACTCAGAGATGCACAAGGTAACCTTTTAGTTTTAGATGGAAACATATGGGAAATGGTCAATTGTTGTGCTTGCCGCAATGGTATCGGTATCGATCATTTTTTTATGGATTCCGTTGCACATTGCGCTTATTGTCTTGTGGATGTACCGAGAAATCATACGAGCGTACCTGAAACTCAAACATGGATCGGAATTTTTCGGAATAATTGGAGGTTCTGATGTTCTATATTTAACTGGGGACCACGAAAAAAATGCTATGTCCATATTGATGATCGTCGAAAGCAACGCCGAGGACATCTACGAAATATACAAAAGTGTGGTGGACAGATCTTTCTTTGCAAACCCAAGTAAGTTCCCAGAGTTGCACTGTGTGGTTAGACAGTTTGGCGGTTACTTCTACAAAGTGAAAGCAAGTCCGACAGTGGAGGAATGCGTGAAGAAAATGGAAGAGGTAAGCTGCGAGGGTGACAAAATCAGCAAAGACGAATTTAAGCAGTTGATGAATAAGTGCTGTAACGAAAAACTACCCAAAGGTAACACCCTCTTTTGGGATTCGTACATTGGTGTACAACCGCTCGATTGGAATAGTGAACCAAACAGTAGTGCACGCCATTACCCGGTCGTTTTCCGCTTGCACCATGCTATCGGTGACGGATTTGTAGCAACTCAGCTTTTATCCATATTAGTCGATAGGATCCCATACGAAAGTCAAGATCCCATGCACACCTACCTCAACAAGGTTAAATCAGACCCACCGCTCGCAATCATTTTCCACAAAATCGCCGTAACGTTGTATGCCATTGTTTACAGTATTTCAGCAATCCTGCTATATTTGTTAAACAAGGGTAGCAACAACCCCATGCAGGGCTCTAAGCGAAGCAATGTCGACGTCATTACAATGAAAGTTGACAAGGGAGATTCTGTTCGGAGAATAAAGCAGATTAAATCCACAGTTGGTCACACTGGATTTGCAAACATTTTACTTACAGCTATTTCAGCAACTCTTCAGCAGTATTTTGAATTTGTGAGTACAAAGCCGATTTGTCCTATAACTTCGTAAATATTTGTAGCACGCCAAGTGTCCGGAGCGCATTAATGTTATCGTCCCCTTCCTACGAAAAGCTGCGTCGCTATCCAAAATTCCACTGGGCCAACTTGACGCCAGTGATATATCTTTTCATAACAACTTTATCCTGCTTATACTCGGTTTGCCTTTGATTGTCGGAGATAATCACGACGTTAGCTTGACCAAACGCTTGGAGGCCGTTAATAAAGCAATCGCGAACTCTTCCAAGTCCGCAACCAATACGGTAAGATTTGCCTAGTGATCCGACCAAGCACTTACTACGTCTTTCAGATAATGTACTTTTGGTCACACATTGGAATACAAGTTCTACCAATTCCGATCTTTGGCCAAGTAAACGACGCCCCGCAGTCCAATGCAATCGTAAGCGTGCTTCCAGGACCGGGCCAGGCGTCGCTGGCTGACGGGAGAATGCCAATTCGAAATGTAATGTCGTGGATACCGCTCGCTGGAGGAGTAGGTGAGGTTTTTGCACTTTATTAGTGCGAACATAAAACATAATACCATTGCAGGTATGAGTATGTGCGTTATCACTTATAACGAGGGGCTCAACGTTACTCTGAGGGTAGATAAGGAGATCATTTCGGACGAAAAGGTTGCCCAAAGTATTTTAAATGGAATTTTTGAGAAGCTCGATTTGTTTGAGAAGGAACTGAAAATAAAATCGGATTAGGGAACATTCAATTCTTGTGTGCAGTAATATGTTTGTTATTTTTTTTGTTAGTGTTTGTTGAATATACCGAACACTTTTGTTTTATTCTGTATACAGGGTGTAGAATCTAAGATCCTTCGGATCATAATTCCTTTTTTGAACACCAGAGGTGTGCTGTATTCCAGTGGCGTATCCAACTTGCATTTTTTTTAAATGGCACACCCGATATTTTATTATTGATTTGGAAAAGTACTTATTTTTTTTCGCTGTTATAACCTTTTTTCGTCAAAATTTGACAGTTTTTCGAAATTTGTTTTTAGAAAAACTAAATCGCGCAGGCGGCTAAGTTTTGAATTGATGCACAGGTTAAGGCCTCTTCCACTGTCACATAATTTCTTTAGGGTACTTTATCGAAAAAATAACATTTTGATTGACCTTCGCCAAATGTCATATTTTTTTTAAATTTCAAATGGCACCCCCCTAAACAAATTATACCTCTGGGTAGCTCAAACTACAAATTTTCCATCGATTAAACAAAACCCCACATTCCATAAAAAAATTTCAGAGAAAAACCAAGCCAAAACACCAGTTTGTAAAAAAAAGTTTTTTTCCGAACCCAAGTGTGCCATGATGAAACAAAAGTTGTTCAATTCTCACAATTAACAGTAGAGTGTCGGCAGTGTATGATTGTTTTTTAATCAGTGTTGCGAAATGTTCCAAACTCAAGCAGAACTTGTTGATATGGTGTTTATTCTTGGAGACTGTTACCGGAATTGTTTGTTGGCGTCACAAAAGTACGCTGAGAGATATCCTGGTAGAACACATACAGATCAACACGCGTTTCGAAAAGTGGTGGATAAATTTACCTGAACCTCTTTTATTTCATCATGGCACACTTGGGTTCGGGAAATAAGGTTTTTGTTTACAAATTGACGTTTTGACTTGGTTTTTCTCTGAAATTTTCTTATGGAATGAGTGATTTTCTTTGTATCAATGGAAAATTTGTAGTTTTAGCTACCCAAAGGTATAATATGTATATGGGGGTGCCATTTGAAATTTTTAAAAAATATAACGTTTGGCGAAGGTCAATCAAAAATTTAATTTTTTCGATAAAGTACCTAAAAAAATTATTTGACTGTGGAAGAGGTCTTAACCTGTGCCTCAGTCAACTATGTTCCAAATCAGCGACAAAATATGAGGTGTTCCATTTAAAACAAAAATGCAAGTTGGATACGCCACTGGAATACAGCACGCCCCTGGCGATCAAAAATATTTTAGAAATATGGCTACGGTAAATGTGTACAATTTTGCTCTAACACTGCTTTCGGTATCTTTTATGGTAAAGGAATTATGACCCGAAGGGTCTTAGGTGCTACACTCTGTAGGTATATGAGTATGTATAACCAAAGACTATCCAGTCTTTGGTATAACATAAAAAATAGTAGTGCGAAGATTAAAATTAATTATTAGTTTGTATAGTACGTTTTTTGGGTGCATAAAAATTGGCTACCTCCTCCCCCCCTCCCCCTCAGTTTGTCAAATCTCAAAAATAATGTGAACGTTTTTTGCTGATTTGTACGTCAACTTGACACTCGTGATAAGTCCCATAATAAATTCACCTCTTGTAGTACTTATCAATGTGATCGGACGGACGAACTCGGGCGCCACCAAGCGAGACCGCCTGGTCGAGGTCGGCGGTAGCCTCGGCGGTAGCAAGGGTCTTGCGGATCGGTCTCGGAATCCACGGGTGAACGCAACGGGAGAAACGGCAGTCAGGAATCGGACGGGTTAAAAAGTTAAAGATTAATACGGTACTTACAAAATAGGCAAAAATTCAAAAGCGAGAAGAGTTACTTACTATTCGGTTAAACACCAAAAACAAAAGATCTAAATACGTTACGGTTGCAAAAGCAAATTTACGGTAAATATCAAAATTGTGGTACGTAGCGGCGAAGATGTAAAACCAAAAAGATCTAAATTCATAGTGCGTTTTCTATTTATCCAAACGTCCATTTCGAGTAGGGAGTAACTGGAATTCCAATTTCGTACGTAAACCTTCCATAAGTTAAACCAAATTAAGATGTTTTTAATTAATTACTCCTTTCCCCGATATCGGAAAAATATGAGACCGATGTCAGACTTCAACATTTTCAAGCGCGGTTCTTTTGAAATAAAGCCCAGCTTTATTATTGGGGCGAGTTTTCTGTAACTCATTTAATTGTCAATCCTTAATTGTACCATTGTATGTAAGGTATATATACAATGATTGTACGTATCCAATTAGTCGGAATGAAATCTCCAAAATGGGTATTTCAATTAACACCCATTGTTCATTCGAACGCTTCTAGTTACTGGGTGTTCAGCAAAGCTGGTCGACTTCACAAATATACGGTGTGGTCAGAACTTCGGGTATGAATTTCGGGGTGGAAAACGGGTAACTTTGTTACAGTTGACGTTTTGACGATGGACCTACTGACAGCTGCTAATGCGCCTTTCAGAATAACTGCTGTAAAAGGTAAAAACGGAAGAGAAGATGGTGGCAGAGAAAATGACAAGCTGGGGTGACGTTTATTGCCTGAATAACTATTAAATGACGGAACCTCGTTCCATAATTTTCTTTTTACCACCCGCACGTTAGTAAGGGAGGTATTACATTGGAGTAAGAAATTCCCCCCCCCCCCCACCTTTTTGACAGAAACACACGTTTTGAAGCATAAGGAATCCGAATCATACAATATCTCAATTATGTCGGTCCATTGCTCTCTCAGTCCATCGTCCTCTCTTTTCCTGCTAAACGGCTGAACCGATTAGAACCAAAATTGGTAAATATATTTTTAGGCATAAAAGGAAGAGCTGAAAAATTTTGGGTTGCAGGTTCGTTCGTTCACAGCGGTGAATACGATTACCGCCAGGGTCGTACAACGAGCCAAATTTTTATTCAATAAGAATGGTGCATCAATGTAATCAGGAAAAACAATGCAAAAATTGACGTTAAGAAAGATACAGGGTGTTGCATTTAAAAAATAAGAATTTTGGGTCAAATCATTTTTCCTATGTAAGAAGGAGCTAAGGGAAGCCAAGGAAGAAGAAAACGGAGCCTATGAGCAACACGAAATCAAGGAATTCGCCGTGTTCGCGGAGAACATCGCCAAACTCAGACCAATGTAGAGGAATATGCAAATGTAATGGTATAGGCACATCAAAAAATACAAAAGGAGGAAACAAGGGGGAAACAAGGGGGAAACAGAAAATAATATACCAATGACAGCGTGGGCGATGCTGGGACTACCCAAATTCCTAATCAACAGAACCATAAACGCGTGGCAAAGGGAGTATACTAGTATACAATGGTTTTGGAAGAAACCCGAACACCAAAAGAAAACCAGGGGGATCAAACAAGGATGTCCGCTTCCCCAAGGCTCTTCGCGATAGCACTTGACCACGCTATAGAACAAACAAGGATGGTGGTGACGAACTTTAGCACAGGCGGCCAATTACTACTACCGACATTACTGGCGTACGCGGACGATCTATTTGTAATCCCGGATAATTTATAAGACACTGAGGACTTCGTCCAGGCCAGCGTGGTACCAGGTACACCTGGAAATGGTGGACCTACAAATACACAACGAAAAGAGCTACATGATGATAAGAGTGCCAAGAAACAACACCCCCAGTACAAAGAAGGAGAGAAGACCATAATAGCCGAGAAGGAGATAACCATGAAGCACAAGATCAAATATCTGGGAACGTACATAAGCAGCACCCTCAGCAGGCACAACGCAGTGCAAGACAGAATAACCAACGCATTCAGAAGCACACACGGAATCTGGAACTTCTTACGAGAGAAGAAAATACCGGGCAGCTGGAAAATGATGATTTACAACAGGAACATAGCACCGACAATGTTATACGGAATTAACACTTCAGCGCTAACAAGGAGCAAAAGACGAACATTGAGGAGGGCGGAGTGGAAGGCACTCAGGATACTGAAGAAAACAGCAACCTCACAAGAAAGCGGAGAAGAGAACTACTAGAAAGAAAGACGATTACCAGGAGACTGAAGATGATTCAGATGAGATACTGGACATACCAACAAGAGGAACAAAGACCATATCATACGGGCTGCCAAGATTCTGTGTGCCTCGGAATGGAAGGTACGCCGACCCTGCCACACATGGAGCACCACCATAAACCAAACGGTAAGAGGTCTCGGGGATTACCATGGGAAGATGGGAAGAAAAGAGCAAAGACACACATCAAGGAAGAAAGAAAGCAGAAGAATACTGGAGGTGGAGGAAGAAGCCAAAGGGAGGAGGAAAAGGGGACAGAAAGTAACGCAGGGAGAGGACAACAATAAAAAGGGCCTAACACGAGGGAAAACCGGGAAGGGAACGAGACCAAAGGATAGGAACATCGGAAGCCAATGAACGCCCGGATAAGAAGCTATCACTAGAAAGCAGAGTTCCCTCTAAGGCAGAATACCAGTGGCGAAGCTGTGGCCGTACCCGTTCGGGTCGGATAACACCCAGTTAGCCGCCCCCCCCACAACCCCCCAATCCACAAAATCCACCACATTGTTTGGCATATGTCGCGGCCCAGCGCGATGGCAACAAAGTAGTGGAGAAACGTCCCTGATAGTGTCTACCAGGGACGCATCCTCACGACAGTTGACTAAATCCTGGGAGAGGCGGCGACGCCAGGCATAATATGTCAAAGTTTCAAGTTTCAAATCATTTTTACTATCTTACATAGGTATTGTAACGTATGATAACATCCCAAACAGTTTGAAAAGATTGATTCTGTTTGTGGTATTAAAAGTTTTACAAAAAATGTGGCACAGAGTCACAAAAACCACTAATCTCTATCTTTAAAAACAGCTGAGATACTCTGAATCTGAAACAAAATAGAACACACGGTACATGCCTAACTAATTTAATCCGTTTTGTTCTTAGTAGTCATGAATATTTTAAAACTATCTGATATTGCGGCAGTCCAAAAGGACGAGTGCAGAAGCACATTTTTTTAAAATGAAAAAAGTGTGCTATTGTTTGCGTTTTGTCCGTCCGTCGTCCGTCCGTTCGGACCCACTTCTGCGGTTTTGAACTACTT